TTCTTTCAGGCATGGAAGTGCGAAATTGGAGTCGAAGATTCTGGAGCTGCTAGGGATCGAGCACCCGCGACCGTTGGTGAGTGGCATAAAGGACGACATTGCTTCGCGTTTCATGGCTGATTTATATCGGAATATGGAGCATGATATGGAGCTCAGTCCCTCTTATAAGTAACTTTCCGTGATGAATCGTAAAAAATAGGAAAAATTAATTAATGCGCAGAACGCCTATCAAAATTGTCCGGGCGGTGTCGGTGTGACGATCGGATGTTGGTGTTGTTCCTTGAATGCTATCTTACCCTGGGTGCAGCTGTGCCTGCTCCGATCCTGAGGTTGACATCAAATTGGCGAGATTTGTGTATCAAAAAATAATAACCTTCGTAACCGGACAGTAATTATGAGGAAGCAAACAGATTTGGCAATAATTTCTTAATTTTCCTTATTACTGAACACAACGTTTTACTGTTTTCCGCTATGGCTTCTTTTTTTCTGCTGCTGAAATAAATTTAAACATCGTTTTGCAGATATCTTGCTAGCGGTCAATTATTATCGGCTGACGAGAAGGAGGCCATCGAGCTGGGAGAGGCAGATACGATTGTTTCTTTTCTACCTCGAGGTATTCACAGTCGCACAGCTTTGCCCGCTTGGTTTCCCCCATTACCAAAGTTTCAGTATGAACTGTTTCAGAGCAGAAAACGGAAGCTGATCACGGTACAAGTGTACGATTTGACTTAGATGATGTGCCCATTCGAAGCCGACTGTTGCACGCTGAACTTCGTATATTTTTCAACGGATCTATGAAGCCGCTGCGTGTCTACGCTACGATACCATATACGAGGTTCTTAAATAACTTGGGCAATTGGGCAAGAAAAACTAAAAATCTGTCGAAATATGTAGCAGAGGAACCAGCTATGGCGGCAAAAAACTTCTTTTTTTGGATTTACTATAGGGGTACCCAAGCCTGCAAGCACTCTCTAAAATTTATACTGAATCGTTCTTCAAATTTGTGTTGACGGCAGCATAATAGGAACAATCCACTGGAGACTGCAAATTTCCATTCTTCACTACA